GCTCCTGATACGTTAAAATCGCCGACTGACGGCTGCGTGCCGCTTGGATTTTAACGCATCAGGAGCAAGAGCGACGGACTGATGTTTCGCCTTCTCTCTCTACTGAGCCGAAGTTGAGCCGAGCTCAGAGCATACAGATACAGTGCGATAGTGTGCGTAAGTGGAGGGGCAGATTCTCGGTGGTTCCCGTCCTCAACCTGGCATCTCTGTGATGAGATTCGGAGTCTTACATGTAAACTGCACGCGGCGAGGCGTGCCGCAACCACTAAGATCGACACCTCTAAGACCAAACACGGGTTTTTACATAACGACTCATACCTTCAAACACTAATTAAAAGAAGAAGGCGAATTAGAAAACATGCCCAGAATATTCGGGTTTCTTATTATTTCAATTTGATCATACATGATCCGACAAGAGAAATCAAACGCCAAATTTCATATATCAGAAATAAAGATTAGAACGATAAGTTGCACTCGTTTAAAAAAACAGATCCCACCTTCTGGTCCACATATAATGTTCTTACTGGAAGATATGCTAAAACCCCCCTACCGGGTCTTAGTGATGGGGGCCGCACCGCTACCTCGGCTCAAGAAAAGGCTAAGATTCTCGCCGACCAATTTGAGCAGGTCTTTGGAGATGCCAGCTCCGCAATTTCGCAGAGGTAGACCGGTTCATTACCAATCTCCATGTAAGAGACGATGACCTCTGGGATCCCCTTGGGGATCTCGCTCCATATGATATCTTTATGATATTTAAACGGTTCGGAAACAACAAGACTTCTGGTAGAGACGGGGTCTCGGCCTTGATGTTAAAGAGGGCATCGAAAAAGATCATTTGCCAGATCTATTATATCTTCAGGTATTGTCTAATTAATTCATATTTTTTCTAATGCATGGAAGGTGGCCAAAGTTTCGCCGATACATAAGCCTGGTAAACCTGGCGATCAGGCCTCTAGCTATAGACCCATCAGCCTGCTCTCTATACTCGGAAAGACTCTAGAGTTAGTGATCTCCTATGAAATCCACAACCACTTGCAAAGAAATAGCATTTTGATCGATCAACAATTTGATTTTCGCAGATCACATTCCACGCTTCATCAAATCACCAGACTAGCTCAGCAAATCACAAACGCCCTAAATACTAAAAGGTCAACGGTGATGGTGTTGCTTGACCTTGCGAAAGTTTTTGATTCTGTGTGGCAACATGCTCTTTTATATAAACTTCATCGTCTTGGCTTCCATCAAAGAACAGTCTTAATGATCCATAATTATCTATCTGAGAGGTTCTTTTACGTCAGAGCTGACGGGTTTGCCTCCTCTACCAGAAGCGTGTTGGCGGGAGTACCTCAGGGTTCCATACTAGGACCAATACAATTTAATATCTATATCAATGATATTCCATCTAGACTCAACTGCAAATTGGCGCTGTGTGCGGACGATACTGCACTTATTACGTCGTCCACAAAAATTTGGGCTGCCTGTGCTAGAATACAGGATTATATTCAGGCAATTGTTGGCTTCTTCTTGAGATGGAAGCTATCCTTGAATGCAGGCAAGACCGAGGCCATCGTCTTTACCATCATAAGCATGATAAACCTACGAATCTACTCGAGGTCCAGGGTGTCTCCATTAATTGGTCGGATAGGGTTACATATCTGGATATGACTCTGGATTCCAGACTTACCTGGATTCCAGCAATCTCTGATACAATTCTAAAAACCATCAAGGTTGCGGGTGCGCTCAGAGCGCATACTAGTCGTTCGTCGCATTTAAATAGAAACGTCAGGTTGTCCAATTACAGAATCTGCATTAGGCCTGTTCTACATACTCTGTCTCTGACTCTGTCTCGAATATTAGGAAAACCCAAATTCAAAGGGTGCAAAATAAGATTCTCAAATTAATCATCAGGATTCCCTGGAAAACCAGAACCGTGGAGCTTTGCAGGAGGGCTGGCACTCCTATCATTAGGGATTACGTTGAGCGCCTCATTGAGGGTTTCAATACCAATGTCGAGAATAATCAACTAATTAGAGACCTTATCAAATTTAACAGACATACGATCCCTTACAAAATCAAAGTCAAATTTCCACTATTTAGCAAATTCAGATAAACCTTTCATCTTCTGCATGACATCACAAAACTAACTCATGAGGCGGTGGTCGGTAGCCTGCCTCCTCTCCCCATCCTGAAAATCGGCTCATCGTTATGGTTTGCTCTATAATTTTATTAATTTTATTCTTTCGTTATAAGTTACTTATATCTAAATATATCTTATAATTCCATTTTTTATTAATTCCGTTTAATCCAAGCACGCTTGTCTGCTAAGCCATAAGCATGCTGTTAATCCATTCCTTGGATGTTACAGAGTCTTGATTTTCCCTGATCTGTTTTATTTCACTTTTAACATTGAGTTACTGTGCTTATTTCACCCATCATCCTGGTCGCGGTATATTTATTTCATCCTGGTGCTGGCCATATTCCGGTTCTCACCCGACCGAGAATTCCAAACTTACTGCTAACTTAATATTCACTGGTGGTTTTTTGAAATTTTTCCACCATCTACATCAAGACGTCCATCTCTTGTATTATCCGCCACTTGATGTCGCTAACTGCATTTTTACTATGGCGTGTGGGCCATAATTATTAGAAGGAAATTAACCGGGTATACTAGCGGATGTTTCAAGGAACATTTATTCCGAATATGAAAGACGCGAGCATGTGCGTGCGCGTAATGGCGAACCGCGTGTACGCACTTACAATGAACTCGCCACTTAAGACTGGCGGTATGTCGAGATAACTATTAATATAAACTTATGTAGAGAGAGTCTTTAATTTGTACTATTATTAACGATAATCCGCGAGAACGGATGCGCGTTTATACTTGACGATGTGGCCGGATAACTCGGAGTATACGAAACGCGGCTGAGCTTAAAAGCCTCGATTGAACGTTTCTCTGAAAACGTGTCTGGTAGAACGTGTGTCCAACGGAAGACCAGCGTTGAGATATTTTTTACCTCGAGGCTCGCTTCCCCTGTTTTTCGCCCGTATTTCGATCCCCACTACTATTCCCCTCATGCGCGTTCGCGAAGCTCTCCGCAGCGCTACCTGCATAACATTTCGTCCTAGTGATTTCTGAATTTGAATCGGACGAAATGAATTATTATGAAGAGCGAAAGTAAATGTAATGAATATCATTTATATACATGTATATATTTGAAAAGTAGAAATGTATGAGAAA